ACAGGGACGCTGTGGCCAATCTTTTAAATATTGATTTGTCGGGAAAGTGCTGGGACTCTTGCCAGTTTGTTAAACTGCAGGTCCATCACACTAGAGTCGCTGCTGTAAGGGACTGCAAGAGAGAGTGGGGGCACTTCAGGTCTGGGGGAAATACTGTTGGGCAGTGTACCCGCTGCCAAATATGAGTAATTGCTAGAACACTGCACAGTGCACGGTCACACACAAAAACACACACCGGTTGGCTTGCAGCGGTGTTTTGTCGTGACACTAACCAATGAGGCATCAGAGGGCTGCAGCATTGACCTGCATTGTGAGCATCTGTTGAACCAGCTGGGCAGGTCAGGGCGGTGACAAACAACAAGTTTGCAACTTGGACAGGAAGTTGCTCTGTTGTCCTTTGAGGTTGAAAGAGAAAGCGGTCAGGCAGTGAGGAGAGCCGGATCAGTAACAGTCGTCCCGCCCTTGTCTGCCCTCCTGGGCCTTTGTCCCCTTGGCCCATGTGGTACCACCTCAGCTGGTGGACGCAGCGGGGGGGTTTGCCGCCTGACTCTCTGTTGTGTGATTGAGCCAGACATCTTGTCAGATGAGCCTGCTCTGGTGTGTTGAAAGGCCTCTGACTGTCAGCTTGGCCTGACCAAGCTGTCACAGCCGAATATCAAAGACTCCCACTGTCTGTCAGACTTAGACGACAAAGACCGTGACTGCTGCCTGTCTGTCTTCTGCCTGTCTGTCTGTCTTCTGCCTGTCTGTTTTCTGCCTGTCTGTCTGTCTTCTGCCTGTCTGTTTTCTGCCTGTCTGTCTTCTGCCTGTCTGTCTGACCTGCCTTGGTAAAACAACCATCCGTCTCGCGGCATTTGTAGTCTGAAGTTAATACTACATTCTAGAAATTGTCTTACTTTTGAAACAAATGCAGGATGTTAGGCTCTGACTTTTACGGGAATTAAAAACGGCATTAGTTAAGCTGGGATTGCACTTATGCAATGACTGATGTTGCGTGAAAGCTGAAGATTAACCAACATTTCGCATTTGTATCAGCCGCAACAGAGACACTGTTATTTTCAACCATGTAAATGAGTGAGTTTGTGTGTGTGTGGACATATTTTTGTCACTATGATAGAGTTGCAACGGTGCAAGATGCAGTCACTAAACTGAACCGAGATGTAGTAAAAGTCTAAATAAAGGTTGAGTTTGAAGTGTTCCTATAGGGATCAACCGGGGATTTATTCCCCCCCTTGGAGTTGATGCCCTTTGTGTACGTCGCTGGCGTCACAAACCTTCACATTTGTGTAGGTGCCATTAGAATTAAGTTTGAGTCTATGTCTTACACCCAGACATAAACTTATGTTTGATGTTATAAATAAGCATGGAATAACAATTGATTATGAGAATGACAGAATGAGTAAGTTGCACCAGTCAATTCATATTCATCACAAAGCAGAGACCCATGAGGCAGGAGAAGAGTTTCTCTGAAGTGTGTATCGGTGATTGATCTGTTTACCTTTCTGATTCACTGAGGCAGAGCGCTGCAGACCTCTCTCTCTCCCACAGAGGTGTCGCCAAACAGACAAACAGACAAACCTCTCTTACCTCAGCGTCTCCAACACCAGGTCCCAGTGAAGACTCTCGACAGCTGTGCGGCCACCCGGCTGAACCAACGCCAGCCTGTTGTAGCCTGCTGGGATGTGGTTTCTTGCTGTGTGGGTATCGGGTCAGCAAAGAGAGTGAGTGGTGGTGGTTCTGGAAGCCATAGCTGGGCTTTCTGGGCCTCTCTTCTGTGACGTGGGAGAGCAGGCAGCCAGGCAGAGCTATGCTGGCACATTTGGGATTTGCAGCTATCAGCAGGAGAGATCTGCACTGCAGAGTCTGCAGGGGGAGGGAGGAGACCGGGAGTGGGGAAAGCGCTGGTGGGGAGGCATGGCCTGTGGTGGGAGAGAAACTGGAAAACCGGCCAGATAAATCTCAACACCAATAGGAGTGCTACATCACCTTCTGGAAGTGGGATGTGTAATTAATACTCTCCCCATGTGCTCAGTGAACTAAAACACTATAGGCAGACAAAGGAGCATATAAGGTCGAGATTGATCTACTGTGCCAAGAGTGGTGAAGAGACTGATTTGTCAACAGATTTTCACAGAGATGCAGGGGTGATTTCTCCCCTATATTGTTGATTAAGTATGAATTGAACACTTTGCTGTGATAAATACAAAGTGGGGATGATGTATTATTCTTTCTGTCAATACATTTTTAAGGCAGACCTGGCAAAAACATAATAAACAGAGTGCATATCTACACAAAGAAAACAAAAAAGTAGACAACAAAAAAACAAAACCACTACAAATCAAGAAGATTGAAGAAGATTCAACTTATTGTCATTACGTAGTAGGTACTATGTAACGAAACGGTTTCTCTGCATTTGACCCATCCTAGTGTTAGGAGCAGTGGGCTGCCATTATATATATTATGGTATGGCTTCAAGGGACATTAGTGAAGGAGCCTTCAAATCTCAGTCAGCCACTCTACTGACCCAGCTCTCTCACTGATGAGTTCAGCGGTGCTCCATATTGTTCATCACCAGCAGTGAAGGTTGACACAGTATCATTAGTCACCGTCAGGCTCAAGGAGGTACTGTGTTGGCTTCAAATCCCTGAGTCAGCACGTCAGTGGATAACAAATGGATATAAATTGATGCCTCTGCATAGATCATAGAAGCTTTGATTAATAATTTATACAAATGTGTTTCATTTAATAAAAGAGAGAATGTATTTGTTCTGAGTATCATGCTAACAGCCTAATTGCAGAGTGTGAGCGGAATACTAATCGCTTAATGTTGTCATAACACTTCACAAAGTGTTTTCACATATGCCAGAGCTGGAAATGCTTAGCTGGGCCTCAGCGCTTCTCTATGAGCTGATTGGCTTGGCCCATCACTGCATTTGGAAGATTAAACTGTGCTGCAGTAAGCAGCAGTGGGCCAGGGCCACGGGATGTGGGACGGTGGCCCAGGAAGGACAAACTGGGCAGCGTGATCAAGACATGACCTTCAGAAAGACATGGAGGCTCTGAGGCTCAGAATAGAGAAACGTAACTCTCACCCTTGTACCCAAGACTTTGACAGAGATCCTCATGCGTCTGTCTCTTTTTTTTTGGTCTTTGCTGATTCACCATTTTGTTGCAGGAACAGACAATGCTCTTGAATCCTCTTTCATTGCTGCCACATCTGTCTCGGAACTGTCAACTACTTTTTTCAGGAGTAGAAAGCATTTTTCACCATGCCCAAATAGTGGAGCATAATTTCATCTTAATTGCATCACAGAGAGCCAGGGGAAGCCGGGGCATTAGCATGGGGGGCGATAGTCATCAGGGATGTTAATCTGTGATTTAATAGAACCACCTGGCAAGGTCAGAGGCATCTCCAGGAAGAATGAGTCTCTCATTGGGCATGATGAATGCCCATGAATAAAGCTATTTAACAAAATACGTAGTAAACCTTCATATAAAACAATAAGTGTCCCTTTGACTTCGCAGATCACATTAACATAAAGGCAGACAGTGCAATCAGTGCCAGGTTTATGGCAATAAACTGACACAGGATAAGTGAAATAATATGAGTTTAATGTCTTATTTTTCACAGTGTAACCCCTACTTTAGTTAGAATTATGCTTGTCCGGCAAAGGCTTTTTGAAGCGCATTTTGTATTCCAGGCAGAACTGTACAGTGCCGATAAAAAGGCAAAAGGCTCCCTGCGGCACATCATTACCCCTGAAAGCACCATTAGGGAGATCCCTCCGTTTTAACTTGTTGGCGGGCAGGATACATGGTCCATGTTAAATAACCGTTATGAAACAGAATTTATGTCTGGCTTGTTGTTGGCTGTGCTGTCCCCTCTCTGCCCTGATTGTGAATTTGTCGCCTCATAGTTTTGTTTTCAGTGGTGGAGCTGTAGGGTTTGTTAGGCTCAAATAAAATGATTTATTGAGGCTACTGATAATAGTGTCAGGGATCTTTGTTGTTGCCAAGTTATGTTAATGTTATCAATACTAAATATTACTGAGAGTTGGGTAGTCTCAGGTAGGCTGTCTGCATACAGATCTGCTGAACGAATGATGTATCTATTGTTGCATTGAGCTTTATAGCTTTTATGCTTCTGCACACTAGTTAACACAGCTTAAACTGAATTGTTTAAAGGAGAAAATAAGCCATGCATCCATAAGTATGTTCAATGACTCAAGGTAACAACATGACCTTGGTAAGTGAATCATCTTTAGAGCATGGTGGGTGTGGGTGAGTTGGACAGTAAACAGCACATCAGTTATTTGCTTCAATTCACACAATTATTGAAGAAGTATGGGGAGCTATCAGGTTCTGACAGGAGCAATAGCCAAGTTAGGCGGTGCGTGCTCTGGCACACACACACACACACACACACACACACACACACACACACACACACACACACACACACACACGTCATTGTAACTCACGAGGTAGAGAAGAGGTCGTCTTGGATTGGATGTCAGATCTGCCCTCTTTTGTCCTCTGTTTGGCTGCAGCCTGTCACACTTGATAACCACATTTTTTACTCAGATGTCTGATTGATTACCTTCAAGTTCAATTAAACTGTGACACAAGCTATTTTTAGCCAGAAAAAGACAGCAAGACATGGGTGACCTGAAGTCATTCACAGAGAAGAAAATGCTGTAAAAGCTCTCAGACCAGATTTACTGCAAGAGATATTCAAGTAATTCCTACACATGTACAGTACATGTACAGTATAAAGCTAAACCATATTTTAAACATGAAAACTTGGAAGAAATATAATAAATACATTGATAATTAATAATATATTTTTTGTTGAAATGGGTTTGAAAATGGTTAATTTGATAACTCTAAAGGATAACTCCCTCTGCTGAAGAAATACAGAAATGAATCACCCTGATTTAGATTTGTTTTAGTTATCAGTGTTTATCTGTCACACTAACATGCATGTGTCCGTCTTTTAGGAGAAGACCACATCAGGGACAGTGTGGTGGGCCCCACAGACACACAGGCCGCGGGCGTTGTGGCCGGAGCAGAGTCGAGCTCCAGCAAACGGAAGCTGCACTGCTGCATCAGAGTAACAACCGTACAGGTGAGCAAGGCCCTGTGGGGAGTCGCCATGGTGATGTGTGTATGCTCCTCCTGGGCAGGCTCCACCCAGCTGGCCAAGCTGACCTTTAAGCAGTTCGACGCCCCCTTCACCCTCACCTGGTTCGCCACCAGCTGGAACTCCCTCTTCTTCCCACTCTACTACATCGGCCATCTGTGTAAGAGTCCAGAGAGGCAGACGCCCAGACAGAGATTCAGGTGAGGAGCAATTACCCTATTCTTACATTTCACTTTAAACAGAGATGATATATAACACATGAGAAATAATAACCTACAAAGTGAGACAAAGAAAGCAAATAGGGTTTGATTTGGCTTCTCTGAAAAGGGGCTGTTCCAGAGCACAAGCAGCCAGGAGTCTGTGGTCAGAGGTCTCTACATTTCCTTTGAAAAAATGCCTTTATTTGAAAAGTAAAGTTTTACAATCAATCTCAAAAACTCACAGGGTGTCAGTGGATACAAGCTTAAACTGGGGAAGATATCTGGGATTTAGAGGAACAGGGTGTAATGGTAATGATTTGATTGGCCAGTTAGATTGAGCAATTTGATTGGGCCATTGGAATCCTATAATTTGATTGGTCCTTTAGATCAAGTTCATCGATTAACCCATTTGGTTGATGCATCAATCTACCAGTCTATAAATCTTATTGTCTTTTCATAGCAACACATACTGGCAGCAGCCTAATGTGAGAAACATCATCAGATTGACATGAAAATGACATTATGTTGTTGGCGCAGACAAAGAAAGTCATTTGTGTTGTCAACACAGAGAAACATTGTGTTCTCAAGCGCCACATAGCATACAAAGGAGGCGAACAAGATTCCGTATGTATTTTCCAGTGCATCACACTCCATACAGGAACTTATGTTTACTTGCAATGTTCGCCCATCAGAGAGATGCACGGCAGCATCCTTGGGTGTCCCACCAGTACCCCCGACTCACATGGATGTGTTAGGACCCGTTATCGCTGCCTGCAGCTGTAACCACATGGATGTGCTGAGGATTTTCACACCAAGCTGAGAAATGTAGAGTAGGAGTTGACATTTGTAATAGCTGTCCTGTCTCTTTATATAACGTGTAGCTGTGACTTTATGATCTGCTAGAAGCTAGATTACCGTCCTCAGCACAGATGTAGAGTTTCCAAAATCAATGCAGATTACGGGTCTCATGAGTGCAACAGTACGGCAGAAACAAAGCCACAAACTGTCAGTGGTTGTGATTTAAAAGTGGCGTATCTAGTGTTGAAATGATGATATACTTTGATGTGATTGTCACTGAATCAGTGTGTTTATAAAGGGGGAGTGTGTTTTACTGCTGACTCAGCTTCCTGGATCTGATTCATAACAATGCTGCTCCACAGTTTCCAGCCTGTCACTCCTCCAGATTTTGCTGCTTCATCACCCCCACAGCAGCAGAGTAAACGGTGTAACTCAAAAGCACAATCAAAATGTCAGTATTTCAAAAACGCATTCCTCTTATAGTTTGACTAAGGTAGGAAGGGGGGGAGTTCTTCTTGGCATCACAGCAGAGTGATGCAGCAGAACGTCTTATTGGGTGGAACAGTTCAAAAATATAGTGATGGAGAGAACATGACCACAAAGAAGTATTTTAATACTGATACCTAATGTCACGCTTTGGTTCATCCTTCTCGTTACACAGTGTGAAATATTGACTGTCAGGCTGAAGCTTAAGAATGTCTGCTTTTATTTGAGGACATGTTCATCCATTTCATTATTTGAAACGTACATCTTCTTGTGGGTGGTTCAGACTTTTACAGGCAGGGATTAATTCCAGACTGAAGCTGGAATTTTTTACAATATCTACTGAAAAACTAAACTACGTACAGCACATTAAGTTAAATCACTTCTTCAAGACCACAACATATCACCAGTTTGACTGTTTATTGTTGTTTCTCAGTTTTATATAATAAAGTTTCATATATGTATATTGTTATACTGTATACTTAGTCATCAAAAATGTGCCTCAAATATACAACAATACTATGTAGGTCCTTTATGTACTTAAAATATATTGATATGTTTGAGCTTACAACTGGCAAAGACGAGTCATATAAAAGTTAGTTTCAGAAATATTTAACTTTAATGCCTTGTGGCAGATCCAATTATATTTGTTAATATTGACTTAATTCTCCTGTTCCCACATGCACTGCGATTAACTGTTTATTTCGCTTTTATTTACTTTTGAAATTAGGAAATATTTCACACTCTCATGACTGATTAAAGTCTTTGGTCTCTCTGGTATCATTTGTTCAAAGAGAGCTGTTTGTGTTCATAAATATTGATCAAAGTCCCAGTCCGTTATAACATTAATCAACTCAATTATATTACATTTCCAATATTCTAACACTGAGCCTCTGCATTATCTTTCTGCACAGGGAGTGCAGTAGGTTTTTCGGGGATGACGGGCTTACACCCAAGGTGTTTTTCACCAAGGTGGCTCCCTTTGGCCTGCTGTGGATCCTCACCAACTACCTGTACCTGCAGGCCCTCAGGAAGATCAACACAACAGACGCCTCGGCGCTCTTCTGTTGTAACAAGGCCTTCGTCTTCCTGCTGTCTTGGATTGTACTTAGAGACCGCTTCATGGGGGTCAGGGTGAGTACACCTGCCTGTATTTGTGTGTATATATAGAGTCAAGCAAAGGTCACAAACAGCAAGTTAAACATGTGTTGCTCTCCTGGCATCACCTGTGGGAACCTCTACCCGTAATAAACAACATAACAACAAAGAAAACAAGCAACTGTAGAGACAGTCAAATGCATAATGTAATGGCTACAACAGGAAGTGATAATATATTTGAATTGAGTGTCTGATCATCCTTGTTTTCCCTAACAATAAAAGTCTCAAACATGGCTGGGATTTAAGCTTGGCCAGTGCCACAATATCGTATTTCTTTTTAAATGTACAGTATGTCAACCAAATATCGACTTTGTTTCCCCTAATCGCCTAGTCAACCCTCAGGTTAATCTAATGACACATTGGAAAGGTCATGACCATCAACATAGACAAAATGTTGAATATTGTTGTGTATGTGTCTGTGCTTATATTATTATTTGCATTAAATCTTTGATAAGCCAATATTGTCCAATAACCTACGAAATTGTCCGGTAAAGGCTTGCTGTATGCTGGATAGGACGAGATGACCTTCATTTGCCTTAAGGCTTCTTATCGTGCCTCTCAGAAAGAGGTCCAGAATTTCCTCTAGGCATTAATGGTGGAGTCTGGATTCAAATGTTGTGTATCTATCAACTCTATTTTTATCCAAAGATCACTTGTAATGCCAACACCTCCGTGTATATAGCTCCCAAAGGGTTGAAAAAAATGGTGTTCCTCTGACCGAACACACTACGGTCCAGTAGAGAGCATGTTACCTGTGTGACAACGTGATTTCCCACCAGTGATCGCTGTGTCATTCAAATGTTCCTCCTGTGTGCGTTTGTCACTGATTGTGTCTGGATTGAGAGGAGTGAGGGTTTAGCTTTTATGGATTGAGGAATCTCCCGCTCTCTCCGCCCCCTCAGATGTTTTCATATCTGCAGCCGTCCTGCAGAATGGCTTTCCCCTCTTTTTTCTTTCTCACCACCCCGGCTCTCCCTCGTGCGTGCCCCAACTCCCCACCCCCATTATCTGCGATGAAAGGCCTCAGTAAGAGACAAGTACTGTAATAATCCTGCTTCTCGCTCTCTCACACCCCCAGCTTCTCTCTCTCTCTCTCTCTCCCTCCCTCTCCATCTTGGTGGTGGGGATTGCGGTGTTTGAAAGTCTGCAGCAATGCAGGGGATCTTGGACGACTTTGTCATGAAAGTGAAGGAGGGGAGAGAGAAAGACGGGGGATGCTAAATCATCTTTACCGAACAGCGATATGAAATTGTTTAAGTGATATAAACAAATAAAGATGTCTGTGTTTGGAGGCAAAGTCATGATGAAGGTCATGAAATGAATCGAAGAGCTTTTGAGCTGATGTGTGCCTTGAATTTGGATGTATCAGTTGTAAAGGAGGGATAAGAGGATTCAGCCTAGTCATTATTACTACACTAATACTAATCCTATCTCAATGTGCAGGTGTCGTAATGTTTTTTTCCCTCTTTGACCCTCACATTGTGCTGAAACATTTCAAGAAACTAAAGCACTAACACATGGAGGGCTCTGACCTTGTAAGCACCCGTCACAGGAAATGGTGAAGCACTGACTGACGGGGCAGCATGCCTTGCAGAAAGAGCCATTGTTCCAGAGGTGCCCAAGGACTTTTGCAAAGCAAAAACACACGGCTCATTTATCTTCCTGACACCTCTTTAACGCAGGGCTAATCCACTGGTCTGTGGCATGTCCCTTACGCTGTTCTTTAGCCGAACACACACACATTCAAAGACAAATGCTCTAAGTTTAATAGTTGAACGATTTTGGTCTGTATTCTTCAAGGCTTCAATGAATGAAACTGATGCTCTGGTGATGTTTGGATGGTCTGACAATCTCGGAGGCAGGGAGCGGGAAGTGGGCGTGAGAGGGTGGGGGCGGTGGATCAAGTGGGGGGGATTGGTCTGTAAACATGATGGCAGTGTAGCAAAAATCAATGGCAGACAATCAAGCCAATACTACAGAAGCTGCCTGTCCTGTGTTGGAACGCTTGCTCTGTTCAGAGGTGGAAGATGATCCTCTACTGAAATATCAATACAGTATGCATAAAAAAAAAAAAATCCATTACATTTAAAATGTACTTAACTAAAAGGAGAGTATAGGCATTTGTAATACAGAAAAAGTGTCTTGCAAAAATAAATGGAACATTTAATTCAGTAGCTCTTACATACATCAAGCTTTCCAGGTTCATCCCTATCTATATTTTAAAGGTTTTTACAGAGGGGTCTGCTCATATATTAATCATAGCCTGATTTTATATAACGTTTAATTCTAAAAAAACTATATTTTTTGTTTGCCATTGACAGGATTTTCTGATTCCTGGAATGATACAAAGAGAAATTCTCTCTGTAAAAACACTTGACTTTTTAACCTGGCTTCATCTCATAACTTAAATGTGTCAATATTTTGGTGTAAAAAGTACTATATATTCTTCAGATTTTAAGTGGAGTTCAAGTATTAAGTAGCATTGAATAGAAATACTCTGTACTCTATGTACTATTATTCCGCCACTGTAAACACCAAATGAGCAGTCTGCTGATGACTATAAAATAAAAACTAATTATATCATTATGAGCCTTGTCCCGTGATGCTTCTGCAGTGATTCACAATGTGCCATGTGTGCCTGCTGTGTTCCTGCACGGCGATAAAGGCTCGGGCGTCTTTATCGCCTCGCTGCGAGCAGCGTGTTGCCCATCCGTCATCCGCTGATGTTCCTCCTCCTCTCCACAGATAGTAGCTGCTATCTTGGCCATAGCAGGCATTGTGATGATGACCTACGCTGACGGATTCCACAGCCACTCGGTCATCGGCATCACGTTGGTCGTGGCCTCTGCTTCGATGTCAGCGCTATATAAGGTATTTCTTTGTAAAGACACTAACCTTATGTCCTTCCATAAACCCCGCCTTCATTTGCAATGCATCAAAACATGTCAAAATAGCTAAACGTATGTATGAATAGTGATGTCTTATATAATAAATCCTGGACTAGCTGCTTATGTAACCAGGTGGCAGAAGACAGGAGGGGATTATGAAATAAGGCTCAGATGACAGAAGCTGGTGTTATGTGAGCGTTTGGTTGCCGGCCTTGGGCTGCTATGTTCCGATCAAAGATGTTTCGGGTCAGATATATTTTGACAGAGCTCTGGTCTTCTCTGCCCTGCTGTCTGTGTTGCCTAATGTGATAAACAGACAGCCGCGGCCCGCTGCCAGAAAACATGGCAGCTAGTTGGCAGGTGCACCCCTCTGCAATATCCCTCTGCTCTTAAAGGGGGCGGATTCAATGCATTCATGACCCTCCTCCCTTGATGTCCTCAGGTGCTCTTCAAGATGGTCCTGGGCAGTGCCAAATTCGGAGAGGCTGCACTCTTTCTTAGCATCGTTGGAAGCGCCAACTTTGTTTTCATCAGCTTCGTGCCGCTCATCCTGTATTTCACTCACGTGGAGTACATTGACTCACCTGGAGAGATCCCCTGGGCTTGCTTCTGCGGGGTTGCAGGCCTGATGTTTGGTACGGAAAGATGACATATGAAGCACACATCTTATACTGCAATGATTATGCAACCCATAAATATCCTTTTTAAAGTTTTATGATTTCACAAGCTAATTTTGTTGTCTGCTGCTACTCTGTGCTTCTTCCCACAGCTTTCAACGTCCTGTTGAACTTTGGCGTTGCGATAACATACCCAACATTAATATCTCTTGGCATCGTCCTAAGTGTTCCTGTAAATGCCAGTAAGTCTCTTGGCTCTTCTCCCGGACTTAACTTTTTAATACCAGCCACCATTTTAAAAAGAAAGGAAATCACACTAAAATGTATCATCTATATTTGGTGGACAGTAGAACTTACATTCAAATTTGTTTTCTTATCATTGTAAACTGTAAGATTTTCTGTGAAAAACACATTATTCATGGTGATTGACATTCCCCTTCTGCATATGCATTGTTGACATTATTTCAATCAATTATTGTTTGTTAGTTAAAGTTATTGGTATCAAAGTATCAGACTTTGACTACACAATTATTGTGGCCCAAATAATTAACGATAACCATATTAATGCAATATCCGTAGAAAATCTGAAGGAATAAAAGGCTTTCAGTCATATTTATCTTTGTTGTTTTCGGTGCTGTCTCTTCTTACCAATTCATCTAATTTATTTCTTAAAATGTTTTTAAGTTTAGTGAGGTTAAGAGAGAGTCTGTAACCATAACTTTATAAAAGTGTACAAAAAGAACAATGACAGTAATGGATAGTAAAACAAAAAAAGATCCACAAGGCCTCACATCTGCCAAAAGTAAATGATCATGTGTGTATTATTAACATGATCATGATTTGTTTTTCAAATATCACTATTATCCTTAAAGGTAGGGTAGGTAAGTTTGAGAAACCGGCTCGAGATACACCTTTTGTTATATTCCATGGAATGCTCTTAACATCCCGATAGCAATGAATATCTTAAGTGCTTTGACAAAAAATCCATAAACAAATGTCATCTGTGGAAGCCGTAATACTGTAAAAAGTACGACCAATCATTTTAGCCGGCCCGGCTAAAATAACTGGATGGCCTACCTGCCTGTCAGCCTTCCATCTGTGCACAAACTTATCTCGTGCCCTCATTGGTCATGTGCGCGTTCGTGTGTGTTGGAGGAGGGGCTCTATAAGGAAGTGGCAGATTTTCTCCGGTTGTGTATTTTCAAATTCTAGCGATCTCGAGCCGGTTTCTCAAACTTACCTACCCTACCTTTAATGACAATGTGTATACATTTCTTCATATGTTCTTACTGACACATGCTTCTCATTTTACAGTGGTGGACCTCTACACATGTGAAATTAATTTCAACACAGTGCGCCTCATTGCTGTGTTCATCATCTGCCTGGGGTTCCTCATGCTGCTGCTACCGGAGGACTGGGACCAGTGCATCATCAAGCTCAGCACGAAGCTGCGCAAGAGAGACGAGCCAGCAGAGGGCAGCGCTGAGGCGGGCGCCACCACCGGGCTCAACTGGAGAGGGAGAGCCAGGACCTCCATGTCAACATTTGCACATTGAAGACGTCAGGACATTTGATCTGCCCTCTTTTTCACGAAGCTCCCTGGATGAAAAAAAGTGTTTTAGACTGCCCTCTGATCAGTAACACTTCGGTCAAGGGGGGAGATGCAGGAAGCACAGAGTGTGAATCATTCATTTGATGTCCTTTCCACTCACAAGTTGTCAAAGTTGGTGCATGGACAATGTTTATTGTAACCCAAAAGATTATCAGGTATAACTGATTAAGTCATGTATTCATTTGGCTGTACCTCTTAATCAATCCATGGATTCTCTACATCCTTGCACCTGGGAAGACTTGCCAACTTGCCTGATATTATCAGTTCCGAGCAAAAAAACAACCTTTTTGGAGGCAGGCCTAACACCGTGTGGACTTGCTGTCTTTAACATATACACACCTTTAAGATCCAAAGAAGAATGCCTAAAATGCTGAATGCCTGAAAACAAAAAGGGAGGCCAACAGTGGCGTCCCTCAGGTGTAAACTCTATGACAAATACCTGCCTTTGGTGCACTGTAACATAGCTGTGTCACACCGTTCATGTCGGTGAGCTGTGGACCCAATGGGCTCATCTGGTGTGAGAGGACCTGTCTGAAAACCTGAGGATCAATCTGAGACAGAGAAGAAGTGTGTCTCTGTTCATCCTGAGAAAAGAGGTCAGGTCCGATTTAACCACACTGATTGGCCCCCTGTGGTCATATGCTTTCCTGGGGCTAACCCCTCCTCTGTCAAAGCTGACACTCATTGCTCAGGCCCACAGTTAAGGCACGAGAGATCCAAAACCAGTTTTTAATGCGTTAGATGGTTCATATTTGTACTTTCAGTCCATCCATAAAGCACCTGCTTTGCATTTTCTGTTGCAGAGTTACTGACAATAAACAGTTTACTAATCAAGCAATACACATGTATTTACAGGACATGTATTGGCATCCAAATAATATTCATATATATAATATATGTGTTTTTTGAACCATCTATTAGCTGTTCAAACTGTCCTATTTTCACAATTAATGCTTCAGGTAGGCTACTTATCTTTGGATGGACTAAAAGCACTAACAGCTTATAGTAAAACAAGACTCACCCTTAGAACTACCCTTTTAATAACTCTGAACGCCAACCATAGCTATCACTTATGGCGCATTTCCACTACAGGGCCTCGCTCGGCCTCGCTCGGCCTCGCTCGGTATAGCTAGGCCTCGTTAGGCCTTGTTAGGACTGGCTCACTTTATGCTGCGTTTCCATTACAGTTTAGTAGCTGGGGCAGTAACTATAGTAACGCAGTGTAGGCGGAGCCGTGACGTCATCTTCAATGAGAACCACAGAAAAACAACATCAGCCTTTAGCTGTTAGCACTCAAGCTCACAGCTCCTCATATCTGTTCAGAAACTAGACCAAAGTTAAACAAGTACACACCACAGACTGCCTGTGTCATGGCGAGTACAGTCGCTGCTTTATTTATGTCTATATACTGCGTTAGCTTAGCCGATCTCCATTTAGAAAACGCACATTTTAAAAGGTTTTTTGCCTGCCGTCTGTCTGCAGACTTGTCAAAGCATTAATTCATGGTTTTTACTAACCGGTATCAGTATGTTGTTACTTCGGTATCATTTTGAAACATGTATTACAATTAAATCACGGTCAAATATGTTCATTTTGTTGTAGTTGTAGCCCCCTTGCTAGCGATTCTCTCTCTAGTTTAGCATACTCAGCCCGACTCAGCCTGGTTGTTGGCCCGGAAAGAACCTCGATTTTATGGGGCCAGAAAAACTGTGAAATAGTACCCGCTAGCCGGAACTACGCCAAGTGGAAACGCAACCAAAAAGCGAGCTCCGCGCTGTAGTGGAAATGCGCCATTAGCCTCCCTTTGAATTAATATCACATTTCCAGACGTGTATGCACATAAACTAATCGGCAACAATTATTATTTCATTGTGACATTTTATAGAAAACTCTGAAAATAACAGACGGATGAAAACTGTCTCAATGTGGTTTATGGAGAGGTGTGCTGACACATGACAATGGCTCCCATTTTTGTCCACCTCTGCTCTTTCAAAAATAAAATGTTGTTTCTGTATCCATCAATCACACTTCTGAGGCGAGATAAACCGCAGAGCGACCGAGGCACACGCCTTGTAAAGCGACTGGTGGAACCTCTGCCTTCTTGTGAATGTATGAACATCACTCGTCCACACATGCTCGCTACGTGCCATCTACTTTCTACAGAACCACCACTGACCACTGCAGAGAGACTCTTTAATACTACCCTTCTTGTACCCATCTCAGTTTTTTTTGGAGCAAACTCTTGACTCATCGTACAGGACTTTTTATATTTTTTGCAGACTTACGTTGAGGGGACAGTGGGTGAAATCTGCAGGACGAGCATGCACATAGTGTATAAGCAGATTCAGTTGAAGTCCACTTCACTGCCTTTTCTGTTTTGCAATACAATACATTAGCACTGTTTCCCATTGTCATGCTCTATGACAATAATTTATAATATTGTATTCCTCTGGAATTATTGCTAGACATTAATGTAAACCTTTGTAAGGAATGATACATTTTACACTGAGATGCAACATATGATTATCACATTTGAGGAAGAAATATCTAGAGCGTCAATAAATGATGGGTTAAATGAATCTACTGTTGAGTGTCTTCAAGTGTAATCACGTGTACTATATAAAATATTTCTTTTCAATACAATTCACTGTCCAGGTTTGTTTTCTCAGGAGTGTTGTAATACTGTGCTTACAGATCACTAGTAATGTTCAAAGGCAACATGACAAGTTATATTTGAAGTAATGAAGCAGAAACGATTAGCCGATTAAATAATCAATATAAAGCAATCTGCATTGATTTTGATAATTGTCATATTTCAATACAAAATGCAAAAATAAGCTGAATTTAGCTTTTACATGGGGTAAATGTGCATCTTTTCATTCTCTGATAGCAAACTTAACCTTTTGGGGTTTCTGAATGTTGAGCAGAATACATTTAAATATACCTTTTTATATTGTTTTTCCATCTGAATTCAGTGATTAATCATTTTAGTGAATTACAGAAAAAATAATAAGCTACTATTTTCATAACCCATTAACCAATATTATTTTATTTAGAAAAAATTTCAACAAAATCAAAGATTTAACATTTTCAGACCTGGGCACATTTTATTGCCCAAATGATTTGACAGTTTACTTAGAAAAATACGTAATTGTTGAACAGCATCAGCGTTTTTAACTCTAACAAACATCATGCTCCACTCTGACTATAATCTGTCCATAGAAGAAAGTGGCCTGCCGCTCCTTAGTTAGAGCGGAGTACGGTAATCTGCTGCCCTCTTGTGGCCGAGAGGGGACCTGCAGGCAGTCCACCCTCCCCTCCCCACCAGCACCTTGCCACACAGAGCAACAAGGAAGGGTATTTTCACGGTGACACACTCTGCATGGATGCTCTTCTGAGTGATGTTTGAAGTCAGTGCAGACAGTGAATACTGAAGAATAATTGGAGTCATCACCAGAGCTGGAAGTTGGACCAGGATGGGTAGTGGACAGAGTGCAGGGGTCGCTGCTCCTGCCGTCCTCCCCCTCTGCCCTGACCCCTCCTCCCCTGCCCACCACACTTCCCCATCGTGCTCTTACTTTTTGCCTCAGTCCCTGAAGAGCGCCCTGGAAGCGTTTGCTGAGCAGAGCGTACAGCAGTGGGTTAATGTCAGAGTTCAGCAGCAACAGCCAGTACGAAAAGGTGACAGCAGTGGGGGAGACGAGGTTGGACTGGCCTGAGATTGCAGTTTCTGTGGCCTGAACCAGGGCCACGCACATGTAAGGTGTCCAGCAGAGGAAGAAGGCTGCGATAACCAGAAAAAGACGAACCAATCCATGGTGGTTTTGGTTCTGCTGTGAGTTCTGCAGCGGGGGCTGGGAGGCGCTCTGGGCCAGGAAGGAGAACAAACGTCTTGATGAAGGGTTATTCTGCTCTGTGTTAGCATCAGGGCTGATATAAGTCCCCTCTTCTCTACTGACCTCAGAAACAAACTGCCCACTCACATGATAAATGAGTCTGGAGGGGCCGTGAAGACTCCCACAGTGCTGGTGATTTGATGAGTCCCCATCAAAAGCAGAGTTTGAGTTCCTGCTGCGCTGCACAGAGTCCTCCAGGGAGTGAATCCTCCTGGCATGGCTGCGTGCCACCTTGACGATGTTCACGTAGCAGAAGAGGATGACCACGGCCGGGATGACGTAGGACAGAGCAGCCATGAAGGCAGTGTAGCTGGGACTGCTCTTCCAGTTGACTGTACAGCTGAACATGGGAACCACATAGCTGACGGAGCTCCAGCCCAGCAGGGGGGGACAACTGGTGACCAGAGCCTGCAGCCAGATCCACAGGACCACAGCGCAGATCCTCCACACGGTGCAGCGGGAGCTGTAGCGCAGGCAGTCCATGATGGAGTGGTAGCGGTCCAGGGCGATGGCTGCTAATGTCAGAACAGAAGCTGTGCAGTACACAGAGGAGGTGTAACCCACGTACAGGCAGAGGTCCTGTCAGACAGGAGAGAGATAGATCTTATCACATGCCACTTACTGATTCAAATAAAAATAGGTGTTATGACATAAGAGGTCAGATTAAGGTAATGTAAATAGTATTAGACAGAGGTGACGTACATTACACTTTTCCCATCCACGGTTTATGATGGACAAAGCAACAAACGGCATCACTCCGACGCCCACCAGGAGGTCACTGATGGCCAGGTTCATAATCAGCACTGACGTCACAGAGTGGAGAGTCTTGGTTGCAGCCACAATAACAATGACAAGAATATTACCTACACAGAGATACAACAGACACACAATGACACAGAGGTCAGACTGGGTGGATGTAGACCACACAACCATCTTTTTATATCTGCAAAAGTGATGTGATTTAATAATTGAATATGAAACATTTAAAGAGTCTGAATAGCAATAACACAACCACAAAAACACATTATAATTATGAACAGCACTGCTAATGGTTGTAAGTTAACAGAGCAGTCATGCAAGTAACTTTAATTAAATATGAACATCTAACTATATCTAATTTTATAAACAGATATTAATTTGTTCAGGCATTGGCATATTATATTTCTGACACCAAAATACAGCATGATACAGCTTAAAGCATTGTAAATGTACACAATAGGGAAACATATTCAACATGTATTCTCATTACTTATTATATATATATTTATTTTTTTATTATTACATTTTCATGGATCTTACTTTTCCAAAAGCCTTCAGTTTTACAGTTTTGAATGTCGAACAATAACAATAAAAAGGTCAAGCCATGCAGTCATACATTTTAATAAATGTATTAATGCATGCAGTCATACATTTTAATACATTTATTAAAATGTATGACTGCATGGCTTGATGAGTTTTAAAATGAGTTTTAGAGATTTAAAAGTTAGACCTAAATTGGGTCTAACTTTTAAATAAACCATTTAGTTTCAAATGTCAATGACATTTAAGCAATACACACAATTGCAATGGTCCATTAGAGATACTTTGTATTATGAATACAGAACTAAAAAAAAAAGTCCTGCAAATGTCAGCCAAAGGTTTATTTCACAACCTGGCAACCCGGACAATCCCTTTTATAAGTGGCTTAAAACTAGTCAAAGTACAAATATGTCCCGTAAAATTAAAGGAATTTGATCTGACATCAGTTGACGCATGATATGGATAATTTTCCATTTATGCAACCATTAAATGGAGGTGCTGGAACATTATTTAATGTGTAAAATACGTGCTTTTGCGAACAAAACGCGATATATTGTGTTTAAAGAAATAGAGCACGATAACATCAGTAACATTTTGTTGATGCTCTTATAAAAATAAAATCTAAAAGTCAGCAGTTGAATGATGTTGGCCTACCTGTTACAGCTCCAACACACATGAGCACCATGAGGATCTCCAGCAGCAGCTGGGTCCTCGCGGACAGGCCGGTTCCCGCAGCCTCTGTCAGGCTCGCGTTGGCCGCCTGCTGGAGCACCGACCAGGAGCCGTCCAGGTTCTCCATGTCCCACCCGAAGACAGCTACCATCCTCACATCATGAGTCACGTAAAAGCGTAAACTTGACGGAAAAATAAATGATTCAACTCCATCTGCTGCTCGGACGGTCTCCAGGTGAACCAGCTCCTCTGCTCTTTT